CCAATATGGTCAATCATTTTGTCATCCATCCCACATGATAATGAAATACATAGATTATCAGCAATTAATTTTTTTGCAACATAGTTTCAATTTTGAATCAAAATAGAAAAAATGATGTGTTTAAAAATCCAGTCACCAAAGCATGGTTAATCAAAATAAAAGTTTTGTGTTGCAACTTTTACTTCAGCTCATTTCCAAATGAAACTTTCTGATACTTTAACCCTTTAACTCCCAGAAGTGACTAACAGGTAGCTTCTCCCAGTAACATTCATATGTTTTCTAGCAAATGGTTAATGAGAATGCTCAAACTTATCAAGAGGAAGTTTTTATCTTGATCTTACACCAAATTCTCATCACTAATTTATTTAGGAATTGTGCAGCAGCAAGAGGAGAGAATTAACAATCAGATCTTGTGAATTAAAGGATTGACAGTTTACTGATAATGCTGTACCTTTATTTCCAGCAGGGTTTACTGTGTCACAAGGATCTCTTTCTTTAGTTGTATGATCATTGTCATTCCTTCCCTCGTCGCTCACTAAGTCATGTAGCTTAGCTGTTTATGATAAAATTATGGAATTTGAATAATCGCCATAAAAAACAATAGTTAGTATAATCAATTTCAAACTTCCTAAGGAAGTATTAAGGTTTGTGGCAAACTTAAGCTATGGGAGGTCATTTTGATGGTTATCTATGTTTTAAGGGACAAAGGATTCGAAAGTGCTTAGGATGCAATACAACGCATAAGACGCATTCCATTGCGTTCAAGTAAAATTTTACACCGGTTTTATGGTTTTTAGCACGTTTCCCAAATAGCCGAGAAAATGTTTACTAATTATCGTTGTTGACCGAGTAATTCGTTTCTATCTCATGCACAACCCCTGTTGATCAACTTTCCACAACAAGTAACGCCGTTCAAGCCAAAGATTGAAAAAAAACAAACTTAAGCTATGGGAGGTCATTTTGATGGTTATCTATGTTTTAAGGGACAAAGGATTCGAAAGTGCTTAGGATGCAATACAACGCATAAGACGCATTCCATTGCGTTCAAGTAAAATTTTACACCAGTTTTATGGTTTTTAGCACGTTTCCCAAATAGCCGAGAAAATGTTTACTAATTATCGTTGTTGACCGAGTAATTCGTTTCTATCTCATGCACAACCCCTGTTGATCAACTTTCCACAACAAGTAACGCCATTCAAGCCAAATATTGATCGCTTAGTTGTAAAAAACGTTCTACAAAAGGTATCCTGTAAATTCTCCTTAATCCGATACACGATAGAAAAGCTTACCTTCAGGCTCAATTCCGTCGGTTGTAATTGAAAAATCCTGAATTCTCCGCGGGAGATCCACTCTGCCGATTGTCTCAACCATATTCTGTAGCAAGGTCACATTAGTTGGGCCAATTTTGTCATCTCTTTATAGAGCACTAAACAACTGCAGCCCACTTCCTGTATTTTCTATTATCCCCGAAGGAAGAAAGTCCTTCGCAACAAATGCTAACTCTTTCAGATCTTTGGTTGATAGTGCAATCGATAGCTCTATGAGCAACTTCCCGTAAGAAATTATGCGGTACTCTTCTCGTGCTGTGGCCTATTTTTGTGGTAATCTACTCTGAAGAGGTAAGCATATTTTTTCCGCGTTGTACTTAAGCGCTTCCGCTCTATGGTTCGCAGTGGTTCCCAGTTCTCACCGGGTTCTAGCAAACTCACTTACAAGGTTGTTTTGAGCGTAGTAAGAATTGTAATTTATTATGAATATTTTAATTATCACCATGATTGTTAATATTATTTTTGTATCTAGTTTGCTTTACCATTTTTTTTAAAATCTAATATTTTTCTTTTAGTTGTGAACAGGACTTCGACTTCAAGATAAGAAGAGACGACCATGGCTGCAAACAGTAGTGGTTCCATTTTGTTCTCACGGTGAGAGGCTTCATGTCAGAGAAATTACTGAGGGCACCTTATAATTCCCTGAATGTTTTTTCACCAATTTACTAGTAATGTTCTTGCATTGTTCACGTAGAAACATTAGTTTACTTCATGTGACTTACCCGGAGTCAGATCGAAAAACCACATTAATTGCAAATGAGTCAGGTTAGGGGTGACTGTCACGGGTGTTTACCTCAATTTACATACTGCTCAACGTTCCGATTTCACTTCAAAGCCGGCGAGGAAATGTGTTCTACATCTGATAATCAAGGAGGCCGAACAATCGACGACAAATTTAGAGAAAGTCTTCTGCGATCTCTTAACGAACTGAGGCAAGCTTGCATTCTTTGTGACGTTCTCATTCGTGTTGACAAAACTTTGGAGTTTCCTGCTCACCGTTGTGTTTTGGCCGCAGGCAGCGTTTATTTTCAAGCTTTGTTCTCGGATGATTTTCGTGAGAGAAAGAGCGGCGTGGTGGAGCTGGAAGGTATATATGGCATGGAAAAAGTCCTTGAATTTCTCTATACGGGTGAGGTGGAGATAAATGAATCCAATGCTCAAGATTTAGTCATGGCTGCCGATTACCTGAATATTCCAGCCTTAAAATTGCATGCTGCTGTTGCGTTAGAAAAGTTCATCAACATCTCAAATTGTCTCTCCCTACAGAGGTTTTCCACTAAGTTCGACTGTGCTCTGTTGAAAGAATCGTGCACTTTCTTCACAAATCAAAACTATTCTATGGTAACAAAATCGGAAGCGTTCAAAGAATTGAGTTTCGAGGCGCTCATTAGGTTACTCAAGAGTGACGAGCTTAATGTTCACAACGAAAGCGAAGTGCTCTGTTCTGCGCTCTCCTGGATAAGGTACGATCTTCAGTCGAGGGAGAAACTGCTTCTTGAAGTCCTAAAACATGTTCGGTTTCCGCTTATCCGCAAGGATTATTTGATCAACATTGTTAAGAGTGATGTGTTGCTTCGAAGTAACGCAGTCGAAGTGAACGTTTTACTGAAAACAATCAAACAAACTTCCTCGGCGTCAGAGAAATTTCGAGAACTGCATGTGCCAAGAACTGGACCTCTCGAGACAGTGGTAGCATTGACAGGGGGAAGATCAGTGTCGAAGTATGGCTCAAACAACAGTGTTTTGGCGTACATACCGTTGCGTGACTCATGGGTAACGCTATCTAATCTTCACATTCCGCGACACGGTCACAGTGCTGCTGTCTGCCAAGGTTCTTTGTACTTAGTGGGAGGGGTATGTAGAAATGTCTCAGCTCATTCCCACGTGTGTCGATTTAGCCCTCTCAGGAATAAATGGTACTGCGACGTAGCGGATCTTCCTCACCCAGTTTCATTTGCTGCCGTTGTGTCATTAGATGAGAAGTTGTTTGTTATTGGCGGCAAAGACTGCTGCAATACGGCACTTCGTAGAACACAATGTTACAACCGAGAGCGCAATCAATGGCATTTTGTTGCAGACTTGAACTTACCACGTGACAGCCATTGTGCAACAGTATTAAATGATTCTATCTACGTCATCAGCGGAGACAAAGAGAATTTTAAAAGCTGCGAAAGATACGACTCGACGATTATGAGATGGAACCTTCTCCCGGACATGACCATGTCACGCCAACAACCTGCAGTTCATGCACTTCGCGGGAAAGTCTTGGTAGTTGGCGGTTATGCTGGTTCAAATTATAGCATGCACACAACCTGCGAGATCTTTGACCCTAAGAAGTTCCAGTGGAGCTTGGTACCTGGACTTGGTGTACCACGTGCGGGATGTGGAATCACGTGCGTGGCAGATCACGTGTATGTGTTTGGCGGGTCGAATGGCCGATCTATCTTAAACACGTTAGACAGTGTTGAGTGTTACAACGAAGAAGACAAGGAGTGGAGAAAAATCTCGGTTATACCAGAGACTATCGTCGCCCCCCAAGTGGCTGTTTTTAGGATGCCTAGAAAATATCTAACATGAAGTTGTTTTTAAGCAAGATTGAAGATGGCCGCCGAATTAAGAAAAAAATGCACAGGTTATAAATTGGATGCAGACCAAATTTAAGATGTTCTCCTCAATTTTTACCTTCCTTCCCTTTTCCTTTAAGACAAAGTTTCCAAAACTGTTAACAATTATCCTTAGACTACTGTAAGTCATTGGAATGTAAGAATGCTATGCTACTTTCAAAGCAATGCGAACATTTAGAAAGTGCACGTACAGCAGATGAACTATAAACGCTTACAGAGGTAAAGGGTTCCTGTAACTGTGATCTTTTATAGTACATATGCCTGTGCTCACCACAATAAGGTTCTTCGATCATTCCGTTTTACGCAAATATAGAAAAGCGTAACACAGAGCAGGTGAAGACGAAATAAAGAGACAATAAATCGAATAGTGCCAGCTGTACATTTATTTACAACTCTACAAAAAAGGTGCTCAGCATTCGCTCTGAAATGAGTCACTACCGTGTACAGAACATTCGGTTCTCACACGTTTGGACAAAAAACAGTAACCGTGGTTATCGCGATTCATCACAGTTTGAGATGTTTAATGGTGACTGTTACGAGTCTCATAAGAGAGTGAGAAGCGATCCCCTCTGACTTTAGTATCATAATTCATCCAGCTCACGTCTTGGAGTATAGAAATTGAATGGTTGTAACTTAAGAGTAATTGATAAAAAAAAAATGCTGTCATTCTGTATTGGACAGGAAATTTAGGACTCCTATGAGTCTCATAAGAGAGCGAGAAGCGATCCCCTCTTTGAGTTCATTATCATAATTTATTCAGCTCATGTCTGAGTATTTTATCAAAAAAGTGTTGTCGTTCTGTATTGGACAGGAAATTGATGTAGTGAGATTTGGAAAACGTAATATCATAATGCGATAACAGAGTGATATGTTTTCGATTGCTGTTGAAAAGTCATAACTCGTGGGGGAGTTGATCTCTTCAAATGGTGTAAAACTGACATTCCCAACGAGCAACGTCATTCTTTGAAAGAGTAGCTTCCCTCTCCACATCCCACACCCCTTTTCCTCCTCCTCCCCCCCCCATGCGTATGGGGGGGGGGGGGGGGGATATGCTTATGGGTTTTCCGGCTGTTCGGTTTGGGTTCATATACAGTTTATTTCCAACGTTAGCTTGACCAGTCCTTCGTAAAAATCTATGAAGACTCAAATTTCACCACTCTCTTTCCACAACTTCTTAGACGAACAAAATCTGTCGTTGGCCTTCAGAGTCCAAATCTGTAGGGCGTTCGGCGTGGAGTTGCAGGTGTTTTACGTCCTGGCGTAGCGATATGTGATCTATTATTGAAAGAGAGACCAAATAAAACAAGTATTGTATAGAAGCATTGTAGAATTGTGGCCTATTTCACTGATCTATAGATACGGCCAAATAGGAAGTTCATGATGTTTATTTACTTTACTGAAGGAGTTAGTTTGGCAAGCTTTTCCTCTTCTCGAGCTTTCATCTGCGCACTGGCAGCCGCCATTTCTTCTTCCATAGCCGATAAGTCTTCCCTGGCACGCTTTCGTTTCTCCTAGACAACACAAAGATAGTGAAGAAACGCTGTCAGAACCTCGACTACCGACATATGTTATCACTATGTCGAAATCTTGTAGATAATGAAGAAAATACCATGTTTCCTTGGTAGTATGGCCCTGTGACATACACAGTTTATCAAAAACGAACTAAATAAAGTGAATAACGTCAGCATAACGTTGAACACAATAGTAAGAATGGTGAAACCAACTTTAATCGGGACGCGGGGGGATTGGATGATTGAAAAGTATGCACCCCTGATAGCAGATTCTACGAGTACTAAGAGGCATGATTGCAAGGAAAACAAAATTTATATTTTTGAATGATTCTGGGGCACCCGACTCTCTCTCTTGGCTCCACCAGCCCTGAAGATGCCGAAGTCCTGTTTAAAAAGCACTAAGCGAACTAACCAGCCTTGTCTTTGTGGATTCTTTCACTGTGTAAAACATAGGGCCCAGTTCTGCCAGCCAGTAGCCATCAACAGCTGTGACACATTGCATGTATTCCTGCGTTAAAGAGTTGAGAGAAAAATCCAAATAAGGTAGAACAAACATGCATGCACGCCTAAGAAATTAGCTAGCTGTACCATTGTGCACTCCTGACGACAGTCATTAGCATGTAAGAGAGGACTCCCTAAGTGGTCATTACATGATGATTACAAATGTTAGAACAAGATTGGAGCTGGCGTTTACATCCATAGTACCGACCCTCAGCCATGAGGTTGGGAACAGGCAAGCAATATCAAGAGAACTCCAATCAAACTTCGTAGCCCCAAAGTGCGCCAGAGTCAGAATCTCTCTCATGTTATAGGTATCACGTGACTACGCATCTGTCAGGAAATGCACCGGCCTAAGTTATCGTTAACCCTTTAACTCTCATTAGTGACCAAGACAGAATTTCTCCTTACAATATTAAAACAATATCAACCAGGTAAGTGATGAGAATAAAGAAAAAATATCGATTTGGAGATAATAAGTTGATCCAATACTAAATTCTCTGAACTAACATTATAAGAATTGTATGGCTGACAGTAAGGAGAATTACAAATCTGATGCGGGAGTTAATAACTACGTTACCGTGGGTTTGTCGTCTTACCTTAGAGGTCATAACAAGCTCATGATAAACAATATAGTCGGGTGTGTATCCCATACCAAACAGAGCACTAGTGGGGTGAAGATGACACGGCATTCCTGTTCTCATGTTGACGTATTCTCCAATGCCCTGCGACAAAAATGCAAATAATTAATATCAAAACGACTTCCGGTCCGCCGTTAAACCTCTGACGCAGCCTGTACTGTGTTCATGTCATCTTTTTGGTTATTGATTTCCATCGTCGTTATTGGTCTTAATGACCGAAAAAGTACATACCATTATCTAAATTAGAATATTTCAGATCAAAATTACTGCGTCGTACGAATTGAAAAGAAGCTTATAAAACTAATCTCGGTTTGTGAGACCCCTAACATAAAACAACTTCCTACTATTTGTAGTCGTAACGAAATTCAGTAAACTCTTATTCGTCGAGACAGATTAACCCTTTATCTCCTAGCATCAGTGTCCATAATCTCCATACTATTCACTATACATTTCCCAAGGTGCTGACAAAGAGAATTTGTCTGATAATCAAGAGCTGCTTTAGTTGGTGATCATTTCCCCTATTCTCATTACCTTAATGTTTGATTCAATGGTGATATTGTAAGGAGAAATTAGATGCTAGTCACTCTGAAGGGTTGAAGGGTTAACAAGTCAAACTTGGGGTGATTTGAATCTATTAGAAAAGGAATGATTAAAGAGGGTAGTTTCTAAAACTGTGGTGCTGCGTTGGTGAGAGAGTATAACAAGGTAATTTGGTATTATCAAATGGGTCGATGACGTAAATTGGCCACCGTTAAGAGTTCCAAGCTGACATTTCGAGCGTTAGCCCTTCGTCAGAGATAAGGACGAAGGCTAACGCTTTGAAACTCATAAAGGTGGCCAATTTACGTTATCAACTCATTTGATAATACCAAATTACCAGGTATAGAGGTAAGTCCTTAATGTAACATGTTACCTTTAATCTGGCGGCTTGGTGAAAGTAAGAGGAACAGATACATTTTCTGATGATATCCCAATCGTTGCCGCACGACTTCAGCGGCATTTTCTGTTGGTTCATGATATCTTTCAATTGGCCACGTACTTCACGAACCTAAAATCCGGAAAAAAAACCGTTATGAAAATCGGTTCATTTACAGAGACCATCTGATTAGTAAGTGCCACTTTTAACACGAAAAGCCATGACAAAGCACTGCGGCAATCTCTTTTATCGACTTGAAGTAAACCGGGACGCGAAAGTGTCTGTAGTCTACGCGTTTCAAAAGATAACAAAAAGACAACAACAACCTCAACTCACCTTACGCATCGCTTTAATATGAATAAAGTGCTCATTGCACCACTGGGCTGAGTAGCTATTAAAGCAAACAAACAGAAACAAGGAAGTGTTTAGAATTGACATTGTGGAGGACCAAAATTGGAAAAAGGCTTGTAAAACTTTTCTATAAAGCACTTTGACGGAGAATATGTGAGAAACTTATCGCGGTTAAATAATGCGAGTAGGAGTATTTCTTCTCCCCTGTCCACTGCAGATTAACACCAAAAATAAAACAATAACTCTTTAAGTTTCCTTGCTAGTTTTTTCAGCACCTATTTACTCTCTTAGATGGATCTTGGCTTTGTGAGATCGAGGAAAGAGCTTTGTCCAAGAACATAACATAACATAACCCGGCCAGTGCTCAAGCCCAGAACTTTCGCTGGAATTTAACAAGCAAACCACTAAACCACCGCATTTCCCATTTGAAGGACTATGACAGCCACGAAAAAGCAGTAGAATAACCGACAGATTTGTTACATATAAAGCGATGGACTCACTTGTTAGTCTTCCACTGTATGTATACATTAAGGTAAGTCAAGTGATCACTCTCGGGTACAGCGAATTTCTCCCTTGCCGCGTCGCTCTCCTCTTCTCTTCCTTTTGGACGGAAAAAAATGGCGGGAACTGACAGCATAGACACGATGATCTGTCAAGAGGTGGAGAACATCGTGGGTGGAACAATTTTAGTACATTGTAACGAGAACTAGAAAAAAGTTTCATCTAAGGTAAGTTGGTTTTATCATGAAGAACCAGACAAAATATACGGTCAACAGTAAAGAGAAGAGATAGAAGAAACCCCGTAAATGTGTTGGTGAGCACTCTATAGGTTCTGTGCGTTGCTTCGAGATGAAACACAAGCCTGATTTAGCTGTCACACCATAGATCTTAACTAGAATGCCAACACCATCTGAAAATGCCAGCTAGACCAAGTCAGTATTTTTTTAAAATTTTTTGTTGCCACATACGTGACCACCAATTCTTCTCCTCTAATGAATTACATCAAAGACAACACCTGATTAACTACGAAAACTGACGCTCAATCCGAAATGGCGACACGGTTCTACCTCAGCTCATGCTCACCCTTTGACCCTTAAGAGTGAATTGCATCCAATTTCTCCGTACAATATCACCCCTGAATCAAAAACTAAGGTCACGAGAATAAAGGAAATGATCACCAACTAAAGAAGCTCTTGATTGTTAAACAAATTCTCCTTGTCAGCACCGTACGAAATGTAAGAAAAAATTATGGAGAATACGCGTACTGATGTCAGGTTGTAAAGGGTTTACCCTTTATCACATCAATTTTCATATTCTTCACAGTGATCTCTCTACATTTCCTGTCGTAATGACAAGGAGAATTTGTTTGAAAATCAGGAGCTTCTTAAATAAGTGATGATTTCCATTATTCTTGTGACCTCTGTATTTGATTTGAGAGTGATACTGAAGGGAAAAATTAGAAGCCAGTCGCCCTCAGGAGTTAAAGGATTAAACACATTTTTTGAGCAGAAACATCTCTCGGGCACGGAAAAAGCAAGTACCTGGTATAATGAGAAAACGTTTCGCAAGCTTTGAGGCTTTCCCGTAAAGTTTAAAAGATAAACTCAAGCTGACTCATTTATTGCGACAACCGTAAGTTAACATCACAAAGTATACACTTACAAGCGACTCGTCACTGCACTCCATATCCACAGCGATGATCAACAACTTGGACAGGGCGGGGTCCAGAGGGAACTCAACCATCTGACGCCCCAGGGGAGTGAGACTCCCTGTGTTGTCCAGCGCGCCAAGAATCCACAGTTGGTACATGGAGTTTAAGATGTTGTCCTATAATGAACAAGGAGCCACCGTCAGTTTGAAAAATAAACCTATTTGAAGGGAAGTATTACATTGGAAAAGCAAACACCGTTAAAAAAAAAAGGTCTTGTGACTCTTTCTATCGAAGCTTATCGTATTCCCTTAGCATTAAGCGACTTAACAGTATTGCTACTCTCCCAGAACGGGATTCAAGTACGAAGCAAGTTAACCCCTGACAGATTTCCCCGAAAGTTTTCCAGTAACAATTTTTATTCCTGGTAGAGAGAGGCGGGGTGGGAGTATCGTGTCGTACCCTTAAGCGACACAAAATGACCCGGCCAAGACTCGAACCTGCACCTTTCGATTTAGAATCCGTGAAAAAGGAACTCCCAGAGATGGTTTTTATTTTTCTTCCGTTTATCCATTTACCTGTGGCGGAGGATCCATAAAGTGAAACTCGAGCAGATTTTGAACACCTAAGGACTTGAGAAGCAGCACGACATTGGACAGGTTTGTTCGTTGGATTTCTGGTACGGTGGACACAAGTAGCTCGTTTTTGTAGGAACTCTCCGTGAAAAGACGAAAGCACTGGCTGAAAAATAAAAGTTACCATGGGTCAAAAACAACTATATATTTGTATAGAGCTAAAAGAGAGTCCCCGTTTTTCACCTGGAACAATACCGCCCAAAGCATTTCTAAGAAAAACCGTAACCAACTTGCGTTCATTTGCGTTATCTTCAGCCACCCCTAATTTATACTAATTTAGTAGTCTCTTAGATGTTTACTTATAAAAGAAAAGTAAATGTCAGAGGTATCTTTCACATTGAAGGTCAATTTGAAGGCGTTAACTGAATCAGTGTCAAACTCAAACTCAGTGTCAAACTCACCCAGGCCCTGTTCTGCCGGCTCGACCAGATCTCTGATTGGCATTGGCCTGCAAGTAAATGATTAAGACACTAGGTCATAAAAGTATTTAACAAGAATTTGTTTCACAGAAGCTCTAAGCTTGCAAATTTCCGCTTTTAAAGAATACAATCCATGAACAGGTTCAAAAATTAGAGTTCCAAGTTATACATTTAGTTTCCAGGGCTCGGTGCAAAGCCTAAACATTCCAGGACTGTAGTCAAAATATCCGAGCCTGAACTACCAAAAAAAAAAGCCGTGAAGGTAATCTGCGTCTAATCAAAACTTTGGATTGAAAAATAATGGTTGATTGGTCTGAAAATGACTCGTGCCCACTAACTGACCAATCAGATGCAAATTTAAACCAATCGCGGCTTGGTCGGTGGCATTTTCGCGCGCCTTAGGTAGTTAACATGTGTTGCCTTTGAGTTCTTAATGGCTTCTTGTGACATTTTACTTTCGTGTGATTGGTTGCTGTGATTACGTTAGATTTGATATTAAACGGCTATGAATACATGAAATTCATATATTTGAACTGTGGATAAAGACGTGAATATGAAAGCGATCTTCGCAGTTATGAACACTACTTAAGCAGCAATGAAAAGAAGGCCTGAAAAAAAATTCAGGCCTGTACGTGATTTGAACCCATGACCTCTGCGATACCGGTGCAGTGCTCTACCAACTAAGTTAACAAGCCAACTAGGAGCTGGTCACTGTGTTGGTTCGAAATAAACCCGTGAAGTGATGAATAAACGGTTGTGAATATATGAAAGTCATATATTTGAACTGCGGATAAAGACTACCGCTTAAGTAGTGTTCATAACTGCGAAGATCGCTTTCATATTCACGTCTTTATCCGCAGTTCAAAGCTCCCAGTTGGCTTGTTAGCTCAGTTGGTAGAGCACTGCACCGGTATCGCAGAGGTCATGGGTTCAAATCCCGTACAGACCTGAATTTTTTTCAGGCCTTCTTTCACTACTGCTTCAGTAGTGTTCATAACTGCGAAAATCGCTTTCATATTCAAGTTTTTATATTAAGACATTCACAGGAAAAATGCTCCATCATCAACAATACTGATCCGAGAGAGATGTTTTTCGTCTTGTCACGAGCGTGGGACAAAGGAAAAATAGTCTCGTGGCTCAGTGGTAACGCATCAGAGCGCAGAATCCGCACGTCTGAGGTTCGAATCCTCCTGGGCACTCAGAATTTTTTCTATGCCTCACGCTCATGACAGGACGAAAACATCTTTCTTTATTTCTTTACCGAGCGCAAAACTTACCATGTCTCTTATTCTATTTACAAATACTGATCAGTATGTACCTGGCTGATGGGATAAACTTGCAAAGCGTCCATACCAATCTTGGGATTGAAAACCTTGAGCTTGCAGTAGCCAGAGTCAATTACAAACATAATTCCGTCAACTAAAAAAAATACAGGGGATTTTCATAATTATTGCAAAAGTGAACAGAACTCAACAACAAAAGACAGGACGGGATCTTGTGCGAGCATGGTTACGCCTCTTAACATTCTTTCTCATGGTTAGGATGCTGACGCATGCGTAAATCAGTGAATTTCATGTTTGTGGAAAGGTTATTAACAACATGCTAAACTAGGGGAGGGGTGATATTGTAGAGAAGTTATCGAAAGCAGATAATCTATGCTTTCCACTCGTTAATAAAGAGGACATTGAATCTTCTCTAGTTGTATATTGTTTCCAATACAAGCGCGTAATGGTGTAAATAGATTTAAACTTCGAGAGCTATAAAACTCTGCCCTCCAGTCATACAAGAGCTGGTTTAAAAGAATTATTCCAAGACCTGTAAGCGACGTTTCCGCAATGTTCGTTGCCACGATACACTTCCTGACACCGTCCGGCGCCTTCTGAAATATCTTGGCTTGCAAATCGGATGGTAGCTGGGAGTAGATAGGTAACACAGCCAATGGTGGAGTTTCGTCTAACTCGTTTAGACGTTCTGAAAGAGTGAAGAGATATATATATTCCCTCAGCAAAAACTGACACATTCCAAGCGCACCATCAAATGCACTGCATTTTTCCAGTCTTTCATGCGTTCAAACGGTTTCCAACTGAATGTCTATATAACAGGCAAGTCAAGTCCCCCTGCCTCAGAATCATAAAATTCATTTCACTCACCTGTGATAAGATCACAAGTAACTTCGATGTCTTCTTGACCAGGCATGAAGACTAAAATGTCACCTGAAGTGTATCAAGGGAAGCAAGAATTAAACCGACAAAAGAAAAAAATACGGTAAGTGATACCACAAAACAATATCTATTATGAAATACGATGATTTGATTTGTAGCAGAAATTCAGTTCACAGGATGCGAACGGCGAGTAGAATGTAGGGCTCCCAAGTCGATTTGCATTCGCAATAACTATGCATTTGAGCCATGAACGGACTTAGAGGGAAAATAAAACCAACAACAAGAACAAAATGCAAAGTGCATTCTTATTGGACAATGAAAAAATATGGATTGTTAAGGATCTCACATGGTTCTCTCTAGATGTCGCATATGGTCATGCAAATCTATCAGGCGTTGTTTAAATACCAAACTTTATTTCATGTGTTAGAGCAAGTGATGAGAATGTTTAACTTTAGGAGCAAGGGTAAAAAACCTTAGTAAGACCATAAGTTCAACACGAACCTTTCGCCGGCGTAAGATGAATCTGCAAAGCCTGCTTCACAGCGCCATCCACGTAATCTTCGACAACATTCTTGCTGAAAAGTATGTCCACAGGAAAAGTTCGACCTGGAATCTGAAAATGAATAGAGAGTTAGTTAGAGTAGTTTTCGATTGGCTGTCGAAAAATCCCAAAACCAAAACTATCACAGCGGCTAATCATGACAAAGGTTGACATTAACATTAGCCATCAAGCGCTCCAAGAAAACGTTGGTGACCGAGTCATGGTATATACGATTGGTTTTCGTTTTACATCTGATGGCTTAAGACGGCGTCTTATCACATCATGATGACCCGAGCTCTTTGCGATTATCCACGAAAAAGCCAAAAGAGAGGACGAATCGCGTTAAAAAACACGAACAATCCCCGGCTGTTGTGAATTCCGGGACTAGACTCCGGATCCAGAGATTCAGATTTTGATCCTGGGCGAGTCACTTAACCCTTTAACCCCTAAGAGTGACTAGCATCTAATTTCTCCTTACAATATCACCCCTGAATCATGCAGTAAGGTAAAGAGAATAAAGAAAATTATCAGCAGCTAAAGAAGTTGTTAATTGTTACACAAATTATCCTTGTCAACACCTTAGGGAATGTATAGAGAACAGTATGGAAAATACCTTTACTGATGCAAGGGTGTAAAGGGTTGACCATCCCTGTGCCTCTACACACCCAGGAATATAAACTGGTATCGGTAAACTCTCACGAAAATTTCACAAATAACTGCAGGAGGACTAACAAAACTCTTTGTAGCTTTATACTACCGAAAACGGGATAAGCATCTGTTGAAGTCTCCGTACCTGAAATGTAGGAACATTCCCGAAGAAGTCGGCGAATTTTTTAGCGTCCATGGTTGCAGAGGTAACAATCAGTTTCATATCCCTTCGGCGAGAAATGACCTGAGAAAAGAAAAGAAAACCGTTGCTCAATCCAGGTACGAATATAAGTAAAGTTTTTCAAAATATATCCATAGAGGATAACATTCATAGGATCATTTAACAGAAACAAAACTAGCTAAAAGAAGTTGGAGCATGCGTAGTAGCGGATCATTTACATTAATGTCAAACGTAAACAGGCAGACAGACAAACAGGCACCACACATAACATTGTGAAATAGTTGGGAGATCTTTGAGTTACATCAGGAGTTGCTAGGCCGATAAACTGAACTATTCTCTTTATCTATACGCTTGATAATTTTCCGTATTTAGTCCATTAAGCGCCCAACCTCGAATAACCAACCACTCGCTAAAAGGTCCAAATATTTAATAAGCGCTCAGGGCGCTTAATCTTAAAAAAAACGGTATATCAATGGAGAGGAGACGTTACACGTTCGTCACTTTTGGGACAGATGGTTAATAATTGCCAGGGTGAAAGCATAATCCGCGAAGGCGAATAGTTATCTACAGAATGTAACATCTCACCTCTCTAAGCAGACCAAAGAGGACATCTGTGTTCAGCGACCGTTCGTGCGCCTCGTCCATGATAATGACGCTGTAATGATCAAGATCTGACTCACGGAGAGACTCTCGCAAAAGAATACCATCTGTCATGTACTTGATCATTGTGCGCTGCAAGAAACAACCGACAGTTGAGATGGTCAGTTACAAGTAAAATGATTCCCCATGACCAACCCAACCATGCCCAGTTAACGGACTGGAAATAACTACGAAAATAAACGAAAACTTCCTTTTAACCTTTAACCTCTAAGAGTGACTAGTATCTAATTTCTCCCTACAGTATCAGCCCTGACTTAAACATCACGATCATGAGAATGAAGAAAATGATCGCCAACAAAAGAATGTCGTGATTGTTAGACAAATTCCATTGGTCAGTAACATGAGAAATACATAGAGAACAGTGTGACGAATATGTATACTAGTGTTAGCGTATTATAACAAGATTTTAAAAAAACTTACGCACTTAAGTCATCATTTGCGCTGGAAGAGGATGCGCGTTTGACACGCAGTCCTTAAGTTGTATATTACAATAACCATCCTAAGTTAATTATAAAGAGAACATTACCTCTGGTCGCCAATTCACAGAACTCAGTTCACATAAAAAACTCCACGCTAAACACTGATACATTGAGTGTAAACAAGTTTTCCTCACCTCGGAAGTGACATCCTCAAACCGAATGGCGTAGCCAACTTCCTCACCAAGTCTGCAGCCAAACTCTTCACTGACGCGCTTAGCAACTGACATAGCAGCCACTCGACGAGGCTGTGTGCAACCAATCATTCCATAATTTGTGTATCCATCCTCATGCATGTACTAGAAGAAAAAAATGTAGGATTGCTTCACATGAATAAGTTATTTGAGTAGCAACAACAACAACAACAACCGAGAGTAACATACACCTCACTGTGCAGCCATAGCGATGACAAGGGGTGAATGTTACATGGCCACACGGAGATACCTAATCTCCACCGACCCTGTTATTATCTTTTTTTTTTAATACATACAACCCAAACAAAGGAACATTTCCTACTTTACAGGAGACATTGAAAATCAAAATATTTTCAGACGTCAACTCGTTAAGCACCTCACAACGGCGCTGTTTTCGCGTCGAGCGATTTACATTTTTTCGTACCTGAGTAAGCTGTGTTGTTTTTCCAGAACCTGTTTCACCAACCACAATAACAACCTGATTGTCTCTCACGATGTTAAGAAGCTGCAAAGAACAGGTACAGTAGTTTTAAACTGGATTAAAAACACAAATTCACACACGCAACGTGAGTTCTACATATCATGTACTTAACAACAAAGTGGAAGGGCTAAATGGCGCTGGGTCGGTACGTCTTGACCTACAATAAGTAAGCATTTCATCACATGACTGCCGTTTTATCTCCTTCTTCCTTTTTTCTTACGTTTTTTTCTACCATGCATCTTGTGAGGCAGACGGCTCAGTTGTACAGCTTTTTCTAGCACTGTTCGCGCCTTCAAGCCCGGCCCTCGAAATGGAATTATTTTGTTTAAAATAATTTTCAATCAAAACGGCATCCTGGCCCGTACGGGTCAGTTGGAAAATAAACGAATACGACGGCTCCAAATTCCTGTTCAAATGCACAAAATTTAGCAAAAAAAGACACTACATATCATTTATTTACATATCGTAGTGATGTTTCACAGATTGACATAGCTTCCTTCGTACCTCTTCTCGAATCGCAAATATGGGCAAATACTCTCTTTGTTCCTTGATTGATTTCTTCGCAGCAAACTCGCTGCTGGCTTCATTTTTATCCCTCATATGTTCAGCAAACTTCTGATTATCTTTGTAATCTTCTTCCTCGTCTTGTTTTGTATCCTTGAAGACAAAGAAAAATAGTTACCTTTATTTTACTAACATCGTGAAGTTTGTAAGAAGTCGTAATAAATTGTGAGTATTTGTCGTGGTATAGTAGATTTACGAAGTTTACAAACGAACAAATTTGTTCCGAAATTTTAAATAACATGAAACAGCACGAAACTTACATGAAACAAACGCCGCACAAGAAAACCAAGATTTCTTTAAAGCTCGTTTTTTTTTTTCTTTTTCAATAACAAATTTCTCACATGAAATGTTCTTAAACAAAGTCGAAATTCAAATTCCAACATACTTCATCTTCTTCCTGTTTAACACCCAGAATGTTGCCAAGTTTTGTTCCCGCCAGTTCCCAGTGTTTGTGTTGCGACTTCTGTCGTTCTTTCTGTTCTCGGTGAACACGTACAACATGACAACCTTTTCTTGAAATCATAGCCATGTCTGAAGTGGAATCCTGCAAAGAAGACGAGGTTGGTAAGGTACCGTAATGATTCGATTTAGTGCCCCGGGTGCTTATTTACTTAAGTTACCTAAAGGGAGGGCGCTTATTCGAAAAATGGCTCCTGTAAGGAACAGGGTGCTTATTCTACTTTGAGAAACAGTGGAACGTGCGAAACATAAGCTCTAAAGTCTATTTAAAAAAGATCTGAAAACTGGAAAACGGACTAGTTGTCCCTGGATCCTTCCTATTTCGAGGGATTCTTATTGGAAGGAAGACGCATTCCTGTTGGAAGGAAGACGCCACATCGAATCATCACGGTACTTATATTATCTCTGGGTTCAAATCGAGGAGAAGATTTCAATTCGACAAAACTTTTGAATTAAGCGGGCCACAGTACGGCCCGCTGAACTGACCAATCATAGTGTACGTACTAACTATAGCATAATACCTTGACTGGAATGACCGGTTCTGGTTGCTTTGTGAAGACAATGCGTCCATCAAGAAAGGGCGGCACTATGTTATGTACCAACAGGTGGACTTTGGCTTCTTGATCATCTTCAAAGTCTTCATCAACATCTAACTTCTGCACCACACCACTTGTCAACATCCTGTTGGTCTCCCAGAGGTCATTATCCTGAATAAAAATGGTTTTAATTGGAATGTTATTAAACACATTCAGATGGTAAGTAAATGAATGTACACCAAACATACAGCCTTTCACTGACACCTCTTCCATTAATAAGTCACAAACTACAAATCCTCAGAGGTATGGCTGGGGATATCTTAAGAAGCATCATACACTTTCATTGAAGACTTGTTGATGACTGGAATTCTGACCAACCTGCTTTGTGGGATGTATGCTAATGAACTTTAAGAGCCAATATATTATAGGAAAAATCTTTTTTAACGATCATGAGTTATGAAAATGCTACTTTTGAATCTTCAATTACTACAATAAAGTTAGAATGAAGTTAACTCTGTAGGACCTAAGTAGCATTTGACCCTTTGGCATCTAACTTCTCCTTACAATATCACACTGCAATCATACATTAAGGTCATGAGAATAAAGGAAATGGTCACCAATTAAAGAAACTCTTGATTGTTAAACAAATTCTCCTTGTCAGTGACTTAGGAAATGTATGGAGAACAGTATGGAGAATATGTAAACTGATGGTTAAACAAATTCTCCTTGTCAGTGACTTAGGAAATGTATGAAGAACAGTATGGAGAATATGTAAACTGATGGTTAAACAAATTCTCCTTGTCAGTGACTTAGGAAATGCATGAAGAACAGTATGGAGAATATGTAAACTGATGGTTAAACAAATTCTCCTAGTCAGTGACTTAGGAAATGTATGAAGAACAGTATGGAGAATATGTAAACTGATGGTTAAACAAATTCTCCTTGTCAGCGACTTAGGAAATGTATGAAGAACAGTATGGAGAATATGTAAACTGATGGTTAAACAAATTCTCCTTGTCAGTGACTTAGGAAATGTATGAAGAACAGTATGGAGAATATGTAAACTGATGTTAGGGTGTAAAGGGTTAACACTTTAGACACCAGCTAAAAATTGCACTTGCTACTACACATGATAAACACTTTTAGATTTCCTCTGCTGCACTAAAACATGTCCACATTTCACCTTGTTTATTTGCCTCTGTTGTGCTGACATCTTCTTAACTGCTTTCTTAGCCATATTTTCCTCTTTCTTCTTGGTGTATTCATCACTGACGTCAGCAAAAGGGTTATGTGTTTCATCATAACCAGAGTCCATATCATACCAAGCTCGGTCCAGCCTCTGTAAAATAATATACAGTAATTCACTTTTCATCATGTTTTTTCTACCTAGCCAGCTGTACAAGCAACTCTTTGTTTGAAATTTTTCTCCAAATACCCTGCCTTTGAAGATCAAAGCCGCCATCTTTGATTTTTACACCAGCAGAAAACTGGGGAAAGTAAGAATTTTGTACCATAGGGATGAGCTAGCCAAAAGGAAGGAGAGGGGAGGGGGTGGGGCAATGTCATCTTGCCATTCCCCATCCCCTTCTCCCACCATCCACTCTTATCTTATACCAAACAGTCAAAGAAACAATTACGCCTTGATAAGACAACAGCACAACAGGCCAAAATCTTATTAACCCTTTAACTTCCATAAGTGACCAAGACATGGTTTCTCCTTACAATAACAATAACAAGTGAAGCAGACAAGTGATGAGAATAATCAAAAATATCAATTAGGGGATCATTAGTTGATCCAATACCAAATTCTCCAAACTTGCATCATAATAATAGTGTGGCAGACACTGAGGAGAATTACTAATGAGAAGTTGGGAATGAAACAGTTTTTCTGTGCTCATGTCTCATTAATCACCTTTTGTTCTTCTTCCCATTCCTCCTTGTCAACTTCAGAAGGAAATCGTGATTCCTTGTCATCTTCAGAACCTGCATGTTTCATTTTTATGTATCAGTCAACCAATGATTTGTTTAAGTTAATACAATTTTGAACTGCTTAACATCATCAGATAACCTATGTCAAGAAAGTAACATCTTGACCAAAGACTTCCTGATATAAACAAGAACCTGCCACAATGTGACTATTCTGTCACAATAACTACTTGGTTTAACCATAAATTTAAGTATTTTTGAAGGAAATATGTGGGTTATAAATATTAAATTTTTAATCTAATGACAGATTAGTCTATCAAGATAATTACAAATGAGAGGGCAAAACCTAAATTAATGCTACTAAATTAATTTATTCTACTTTATTCCACAGATTTGGCATGATGAGGTCTTTTCATAACATACTCCTTGTTATAACATTGCTATATTGTAATTTTGTCTCACGTTTTCCTTTGGAGAATCTAGGAGTAGCTCCAGTGCTACGGCGATCATCTTCCCAAACATTGTATTTATGTGTAGGGGTGAAGCGAGGAGTGTCATCTATTCTTCGATGGGATCTGTAGGGCAGTAAATTATTCCACTTATTTTTATAAATGCTAGGACTTTACAGAATAAATCCATTGATTGAAAAACACTTATAAGTGCTCCTTTACAAGGAAGCAACAAATTAAGGGACTGTAAAAGACACAAACTCTAACAGAACTGCAGGTAATGATAGTAAAATCTCTGTATCAGTCTGAGATACAAAGATAATAAGGAGGTTATAAGTGAAATGATGAACCCCAACAGCTGCTGGGAGAAGGATAATCTGTCTTATGCCCCCTTACTGCCCCACCCCCCTTGCCTCCTGCACAAACAAAACAGCAAAAACAACCATAACTGACTTTCTTTGTTGTTTTCTCAAGCAAGAAATGTAATTTTCAAGGTGCATCCCTCCAGCAAAAGGGGGAAATTAGAACCAGCAAACTTTCAGGGACAGCTGACTCCTTAAACCTTTACACTCTAACATCAGTATGCATATTCTCTACATTGTTCTCTATACATGTCCAAAGGTGCTGATAAGGAGAATTTTTAAAACAATTGAGAACTCCTTTTGGTCAGCAATGGTTTCCTTTATTCTCATAACCTTTATGTGTCAGACACCTGACTCCTAAATAATGATCCTGGTTTGTACAATCTTTGTATGTAAACTATCTGGGAAAATGAAGACCAATCAGGTACTGATAGGAACACTTCACAGTTTTTGTTACCTTCTTTCACTTTTCATGTCTTCATATACTGATCTGCTGGGAGATGGCATTTCCCATTTAGCTCTGCTGGGTGTGGCATCTTCATCATCCCAACTGCTCCGTGAAGGAGTTCTTATGTCTGTCAACAAAACATAACTACATGTAAGACAGGAATAAATCTTTTGCAAGGTCTTACAGAGAACACAAAGATAAGAGACAACCATCAAGAGAACAATATAATGCGACATCAATGCAATTTTTTTGGTGTACTAAAATACATCAACAATAGGCAATTATATGAATTTATCCACAGACATTATCTGTTCCTAGAAGTGATCAGTTTTTTGGGAACAAATTTTGCAAAAAAATTCAGAGCTTTTTGGAACAAGTAACTCACAAGGACAAATAAATTATAACATTTTTCCCAACCAAATGGTATCTAGTGAGCTTATTATCAATCAAATAGTTTGCAGAAGGCAGGAAAATTTGTTTGTAGAGTCAAAGCTGCTTCAACATGGAAAATGTTGAATGCTCTACCACCTCCAATTTACTTTTACCCAAGATTTTAATCATATTGGATGTGAGGTTTTAAAATTGTGGAATACCATGCAGAGAATATCAAATGTTCCCAGTTTTAGCTAAGGCATGCATTTATACCAGCAATGTACCATGGATTTTAAAGAGGAATATTTTTGTGTGTGGTACTTTATTGTCCTCCCATGTGCCTAAGCTTCAAAGGGTTTCAAAGTGTGACTGGCAGATTATTCTATGGGGGGAAATTTATATTTAATATATCTAGTGATAGAGGTTACGAGGACAAATCTGAATAAGGGCAGAAGGCCTGGTTTGGAATGTAGAAGGGTTTCAGAATAAACCCTTAAAAAATAGAATAAAGGGGGAAAGTTTCTAAAGAAATTGTGGTGCTGTGTCAGTGAGAGAGTATAGTAAGGTAATTTAGTATTATTAATTGAGTTGATAACATAAATTGGCCACCATAAAGAGTTTAAAAGCTGACATTTCGAGTTTTTGTTGTAGCAATTGTGGGTTGCATGAGTCTTTATATGCAGAAAATGGAGCTATGCTATGAGTGGGAATATAGCAATGATAAAACAAGAATAAATTGGTTGAATGAAAAGGGCTTGTTGATACTGTGGTGATTAAGAGTGCCTATTTGAAAGATAAATTTTTTTTCTAAAGTTTTGCTGCCTTCCGAACTGCCCAGATGTAGGGTAAGGCAGCAAACTGCCATATGTTGCTTAGAATGGTTAGGGAGATTTAAGTGTCTAATGACTGGATGCGTTCTTGTCATTTCTTTCTACATTGCAAAAGTGTTCTTGAAATTAGTCACCTAGTTGTCTTCCTGTTTCACCGATGTATAACTTTTTTTGATAAGTGTAAGTTTAGGTGCATGTGAAGTAATCAGTGATCTTAATGGATCTCTTGGATCCCAACATTTTTTCTATGTTGTAAATGAAAGGACAAGTTTTGCATTGTGAGAGAGCATGTTTGAAATTTCTACGTTGGTCACTGGTTTGAAATGAACTTCTGACCAAAGAGTTCCCAATGTTTTTGTTGTGTTTGAATGAGATAAGTAGAGGTTGCAAAAAGATAGTACCAGTCTCTGAGTTGTTCAGGATACCCATGTTTGTCAAAAAACTGGCACATTGCCTCGGATTTTCTGGAAAAATAAGAGTCAACACTACCTAAACTACAAAGTCTGAGAAACTTTGGGAAATAGGTATAGAATTCTTGACATGTGATGGATGCAAAGATGAATAAAGCAAGTACCTATGTGAATCTGTAGGTTTGTAGTAAACACTAGTGCATAGACTGTTGCCTTATTTTGAAATTTTAATGTCTAGAAAAGCCAAAGAAGAGTCAGAAATTTCCTAGTTATATTTCAGTGCTGAGTCAAAGGAGTTGCTGCCAGTTAAAAATTGAGTGAGCTCCTTTCTGGTAGAGGAGGTAGCACTGATGCAGTTGTCAATGTAGCAACTGTAGAGTTCAGGTTTGGGGCCATTGTATTGACTGAAAAATTGGTGTTCAATAAAGCCCAGGAAAAGATTGGCATAGCTGGCTCCCATTTGGTCTCCATGGCTATGCCATTGGTTTGTGTGTATTAGTTACCACTGAATGAAAAGCAATTGAGTGTTAGGACTAGTTCGACTAAATGGAGTAGTGTTTCTAGGTTCCTTACCAGTGCCTTGATTACAAAGATGTTTTAGGGCCTGGAGACCTCCATCATTGGGAAAGTTAGTATAAAGAGATGTAATATCCATAGTGAAAACAAGTTTGTTTCGGCCAAAGAAATTAAACTCACAAAAAATTTCAAGCATGTGTTGGCTGTCCTTAATGTATGATGATGAGGTTTTGACGATAGGTGATATAATTTTGTTCAAATAGCTGGAAATAAGTTTGGTGGGACAACTGCAGGCAGAGAAGATGAGTCGACTTGAGTTGTTAGGTTTGTGGATTTTAGGTAAAAAGTAAATACACGAAGTTCTAGGAAGGATCATTGTAACTATGTCTTTGTGTTTTTTAGACTTTATGAGTGCTGAAAAGACATTACCAACTTACTTGATAATACTAATTTATCAATTATCCTTGAAAAAAAGGCTATCAAATCAACTGCAAAAAAGATACGGTTACCTTTTGATTTGTGTCTAGGAGTATAACCTTCATCTCTTGACCGACTACTTCTGTATGGCGTCTCTTCCCAGTCACTGCGGCTCGATCTTGGCTCTTTAAAATAATTTTCCCTTCCATCCCTGTGGTACTCTCGAGAACTTCGACTACTTTGCTGTCTTTTTTCATACCTTCTTCTTTCTCTATCATCGTTTTTATCTCTTCTATCTTTTCTATAATCTTTTTCTCTGTCCTTTGGCCTAGATTGAGCATACAAACCACTTCTTCTGGAGTCACGATCTCTTTCGAGTCTCTGGAGCTGTTTTTCTCTTATATCTGCATTAACACCTCCAGTGTGTGAAGGGGTTTCAGCCAATCCAGATCTATAATGTCGTGATTTCGACTTAAATCCTTTACTTCCAGCGCTGATTCGCGCTTCTCCCGTGAACTCCGATTCGTCCCAATCTTCGTCGCGATATGAAGAAAGAGCTTTGATCTTCTTCGTCTCCTCGCCATCCTCCTCCAATTTTCGCTTTCTTTTCTCCTCAGCGAGCTTTTGTAGCCCTAATACGCTTTTCTTGGGGGATTGAGACGCTCTGTTGCTGTTTCCTTTTAATATCAAGCCACCGACAACAGAATGAACTTGTGTTCCCTCCAGTCGGTCTGATGGAGAGTCGTCAAATCCTATGTTTGCCATGACAGGGTTACTTCCCTAGGAATAAACTAACTAATCATTGAAATACTTTAATCAGGTTCCATGCAGACTTTGTAGTTTGGCGATCATCCGTGAAAAGGCAAACAATTTCCATCAAAAGAACTTTTGCATGAAACTTGGGCCGCCATTTTATATCATTTTCGCCTCCAGATCCCGTGAGTTCACAGACAGAGGAAAACCTGGGTAAGAGCGGAAGAGTTAGCAAATTATTAACATTTTTGCTTCTGTCGGTGCTCAAGCAAAGTTGAAGATGGCCTCCGCGAAAGATGAAAATTGCATAAGTCCATACAGGAGACTTCTCTTGGACACGTCGATGGAACTGTCTAACAAAGATCTGGAGCGGTTGATATATGCTGTAGGGGATCATCTTCCCAGGAGATTGACAGAAAACATAAAAAGTGGACTGAAGTTATTTGAAGCACTCGAACAAGATGTTCACATTGGTCCGCAGAATCTGACTTTGCTATATGATGGTTTTAAGACAATCGGTAGAATGGATCTTGCGCAGAGAATTCAGTTTTTTCAAAGAAAACTCCACAGAGCGGATGAGACTGACGGTAATTCTGTAAAAAGTGTATCTTAAGAGGAATATTGCTCACTCATTGTCACATCGGTCGCAAACCTCAGTCTAAAGATCCGAGTTTGTTGAAAACAATAAGTAAATGATTCGATGAAAATCTGGAAACGTACATGAATTGCTTGACATTATCATACAACAGGAATGTCTGGTTTTAAAAAAATCCTTTACGCGTAAAAGTATTTTATTATTTTTATTTACTTAAAAAAATCGATCTGAATTCGACAACGCGGGAATTTAAACAATCAATCAAGTTGCAATGTAAGCATCTTAGAACACTTCGCCTTATAGAGCTCTACACACCTCGCTTTTTATTCTCAGAGCTCAGTTTTTTAGCCATAAATTGCTTCCAAAATATCAATAAAGTGAGTTCAGATAATTAGTTACAAAAGAATATCTGGACACAGGAAATTATTTTGTATTTGCTACGATTTTGTTTTGACTAGACAGGCGAGAGCGCATAGAAACTGACGGCGGAAGGGACGGTAGTGATACGGAACCAAAAGGAAGTGATATTGCTGACAATGGCGCACGAAAAGGTACAGATACGAATAAACATAGTGAACTGGTTCATTTTGAGTATCGCTCCATAATAAAGAACTTTTTTTAATATTATTTTACGTTTTGAGTGTCTTATTTTAAGTTTTTCAATTTTATTTACTTAAAAAAATCGATCTGAATTCGACAACGCGGAAATTTCAACAATCAATCAAGTTGCAACGTAAGCATCTTAGAACACGTCGCTTTATAGAGCTCTACACACCTCGCTTTTTATTCCCAGAGCTAATTTTTTTAGCCATAAATTGCTTCTAAAATATCAATAAAGTGAGTTCAGATAATTAGTTTTAAAAGAATATTTGGACACAGGAAATTATTTTGTATTTGCTACGATTTTGTTATGACTAGATGGGCGAGATGACATGGTAACTGACGGCGTGGGGGACGGTAGCGATCCGGAACCAAAAGGAAGTGATCTTGCTGACAATGTTGCACGAAAAGGTACAGATACGAATAAAGTTAGTGAACTGGTTCATTCTGAGTATCGCTCAGTGAAGAACTTTTTTTCTAATCTTGTTTTAAGTTTTAGCCAAACAATTTTTTTCCGGTGGAAACCTTAAAACCTGGCGATTTGAGCTTTTAACCCAAGTTCTCCCTAGCAAATAAGGTCTTTTCTTCCAACTCAACAGCTGCAGCCGACGAACATGTCATGACATTTCGATATGTGGTTGATCAGCCACATCCTGCGAATCCTAGAAGTACTTCAACAGGGTTAAGTGGCGGTGATGCGGATGGCCGTACAGCTGAACATCTTGTTGCTGTCAGAAGTGATGCTTCGCTAACTGTAACAAATAATGGTGAGAACCTGAAAAGGGAAGGAAATTGACAGAAATACTTTAGGAAAGTGGACAACAAGTGAACTGCTTATAAAACCTAATGCGTCACTGTTGCTTTGTGAACGTTTAGTTATATGCTTTGGGCAGTTTAACTGATCTTTGGATAGCAAGTTAATTGAAGCAGTTTCAAATTGAGTGTCAAGATTAATCCGAGATTTCTTTGCTTTTGCTTATCTTCGCTTAGTGATTGGTCAAGTAATCTCGAACCACTTTCTGAAACAATCATGCAGATTCAAAACTGAAACCGATTCTCGCGTTTGAGGCAGTTTCTCTTTTTCACTAGGAGTTTTCACTAACTATTTCTGATGATTTCCTTTGTTCTGATTGGCTATTTCTGATGTTTTCCTTTGTTCTAATTGGCTGTTGTCATCATTGTGGTTTGTATGTGAAATCTCTTTCCTTCTTTAAATTTCAGGCTCCTCTTTAGAATCCGCGCGGGGAGCCTGTTCTGCACCTTCTCGGGCTTTTGTCCATAAATCGTCTGCTCGACTCCAGCCTGATCCAGCTGTAGGACCTGCACCTCCTCAATACGTGGACTTTCTGCTTCACGAGGACTACGTAGTGAAAATTCTGGGAGGAAAGCACTTTAAGACCCCTGATGGAGAATTTGTAGAAATGAAAAGTGGGACGCAATATAAAATACATGTCAAAAATTGTCATGCTTATGGTAAAAGTCATACATATTACTGTTTTAAAAACATTTTTCAACTTTATCACCATGTCAAATTGGGGTGAAAACATACTGTCAGATTTCAATGGACTCCTGTTACTGACTGTGCTACCACGTTCTTGTTGACAAGAACTTCACCCCTACCCTGATGAACGGACCTGCACCGGTCCCCATCCAGAAAATCATAACCAGGGTGACTCTTTATTTTCGCTGGTGCATGAGGAACACCCACTGCACTTGAAAACTGGTCATTTGCTTGGAGGTCAAGGGACGTTATAAGCGTCTACCAATTATACAATTTCTTTCTCAATTTTCATTGAGTCCCTTTCGTTTCTTTTTGCATGGAAGACTGAATTCGTCAATACTCTATGGTGAAAATCTCGATTTTATATATATATATATATATATATATATATATATATATATATATATATATATATAAAATAATTGACCACTTGCGCTTTTTTTCCAGGTTGCCATGTCGACATATCTATTGACGGTTATGACGTAGGGGGATGGGCTCTCCGCGGTGGAGAAGAGATGTCAATAGAAAGACCAGCTTATGAGGCCAAGAAGTTCACCTTCTACCGAGTGAAAACTGCACCGAAAGAGGCAGGAATTGAATCTGGCCGGCCCGAAAATGGAGTTGTTAAGTGCGTGTTCACACCTGAAGCTTTTCTTAACATTACAGTGATCACCTCTGATTCGTCTCAGCCTTTGAATGTGAGCATGCCTCCATCGGCGACAGTTGGTGAGTTGAAACGTAAATTGCAGCACCAGATGGGAGTTATGGATGACCCCTATCAAGTTCTGGCTAAAACCGCGAGGGTCCTATCAAATGGTACACGACTACGGTAAGGATTGTAAAGCCTATGAGCCTATAGGATGATCCTTTGGAGGGCGGATTAGTAAGGGATAAAATCTTGTCAATTTTCTCTTTTTTTTTTCCATCAGAGATATAATTGAGAAACCCATGGATTTGAGACTAATAGATGCAGAAATATCAATTACAGTAACAGCCGAGGCGTGTTCCAATTGTCCTTTTCCAATAAAGGTGCATCCCGGCAAGGTAAAGGTCCATTATCTTATGGAACAGATAGAAGGGAAGATTCAAGTCCCAATCAGGGATCAAAAGCTTTACCATGAGGGAAACCTCTTGTCAGCCGCACCAAGCAGCTATCTTCCTGATAAACTTATCTGCAGTCCACGTCCGGCTGTGAATGTCATTATCCCCGAGTACATTCACATAACTGTAAAAGATCAGAGTGGCGACTCACACTCCGTGAAAGTGGACAAAGAAAAGAACTTAGAGGCGGTTATGGAAGAAATTCCTTCGAGCAGTTACCTGCAGGTAAACGAAGAGGCTACGTTTGCTTTCAATGGAAAGCAACTCTTCCCTTCTAAAGACAAAGGAACCTTAGCAAGCCTTGGTATTTGCTCTGGATCGAAGCTTGAGTTGACCGTGAGGATTCTTTACATCGAAGTCAAAGTTTTCTTCTCCGATAACTCTTCATCAGTCCGTGTGAAGTGTGATCCCCAAGAAACATTCCGGGATTTGGTTGAAAAGATCTTAAAAAGGCGCAACATTAGTAAGTGCAGGCTTACATTTGCAATAGATGGACGAGAGTTTGATCCGGATCAAGACAAGGGTCCGTTACAAGGTATATTTTATTCCTCAAATATAATCTATCACTAATAATAACAGTGTTACTAAATGGCTGCGGCGTAGGGTGAAAGAAAGATACTATTTCGGCAACTTCACCCTATATGATAGTGTAACAAGCGAGATAATATATTCGGTTAACTTTCTCTGATATAGATTACGGAGTTACGCATGGCCGTACGCTTCGGGTGACGAGACATCCCACTTCGGACAGTATTGGCGCTAGGATACTCAACCGGTAAGTGTATAAAATATGGCTGCGTGCGTAGAAATGCAAATATCCTGATACTTCGTAAACTTTTTAGCCGCCATAGATAAGAACAAAGACGTGCATTTAAGAACGCGAGGTGATTTCTTTTGCGGGGACTCAGATTCCTTTTAGCATCCAATTTATAATTGGCGTTCATTGACCTCGACGTGGTCGAACTGGCCTCTTTAATCCCTAATCAATTTGTAAAGGTGGTGAGAAAGGGGACAAATGACGATTTAGGCTACAAAAGGTTTTCATTCAAAACCACTGAGAAAAGCAGTACTATTTTGGCAATAATTTGTTAAACTGTAGACCTTGATTAGGTTTAGAGTGCGTGCGTGAATTTTTTTGTCCCAGTTAACTTTAATAAGCGTGGATACAACGTAGTAATATTTGCACGGTCTATTTCTCTTTCAAATAGGCTTAAGAGTTTAGGGACTTCAGGTAAGCAAAGGACCGATAGAAATGGTTTGAGAAGGTGTAACAAATCAGGAAATGAACACTTATGCTGCAATCCCTATTCAATTGCTGTCCGCCAAGCAAATCTTAAGAATTAGCATTTAGAGACGTCAAAAATTGTATTCAAAATAGCTATAGATATCTCACGATGTTGTGGGAATTTGCCTTTTTTTTTCGCCTTTCGTCGTGAAATTATCCTACTTGTTGCATCCATCCATTCAATCATTTCCATGATCATGTATTAATTTTTCTTTTATCGCATGTTCATTCATTTATTCAGCATTTTATAATGACCTCTCGTCGCCAGAAACTGAGAACTGCAACAGTTCTAAGACCTCAAAAATAAACGTAGAGCTTCTTTTTCAGGGTACAGAATTTTAGTGATGAATTGTAGGGGGAGGGGAGTGCAGAGTACGCAAGGATTTGGAAAACAATGACGAGGCTTAGTTTTGCGGGATTCGTCCTAATTTCAAACATAAACTTTTTGTTACTGGGTTTTGCCGACCACATAACTCCACACTAGACACTAAAAAAGGAACTCACGAAGTCCCTTCAACTCGTCAGCAAAGCAACCTTCGACCAGCTTTTGGCCTGTTGGGACGTTATTCTCCCTACCATCAACTGAAAAACCTGTACTTTCATCAACAATGACTCCATCTACAGCTATTTTACAAAACTAGTGCGAGACAACTACTTGTGGTAACGGGTTGATTCCCGTACACGGAATACCATCATGTTGGATCTGGCCCTCACTAATACAGTACCGCTCGCGTATAGCGTATAGCGGTACTGTATTATTTCGGCAGAATCAGCTAAGGCGCCCGTTTGTGACCAGTTGTCGCGTTCTGAATACGAACCCACGTGCGAATGCTTATTTCATAGCTTTTATCATCGGTGAACATGCTGTTCTCGAAAACTGGTTCATTCATCTCGCCTTTTATACAAAACTAACAAGTTCTAGTCGCTTATTTTAATGGTGTTGTGTTACAGTTTGGTTACCTGTTACGACGACGTCTTGTTCTGATTCGTATGTAATTTTTTAGGCGTAACCGGAGTAGCCTCTTGTTTTATTATTTGTCAAATCATCGATCGATGTTCACCAAATTGCTCGAAAAAGGAAAGGGAAAAATGAAATGCAAGATGCATGTAATTCAAGTATGTTTAAGACTCGCCGGCGCGTATAATTAGGTATGGGGAGCCATTTGTGCCAAAAATATCTATCGCTAGTGGTAAAACTCAACCGTCCATTTTAAGAGACACGCATTTGAGTTCTATATAACTTATCTCGAGTAAATTTCTCTTTTAGTACCAGTGACAATGTCACTCTCTAGAGATGGTGAGTAGTTTTCCTTTCTTATAAGTTTAAGTTTTTTGCTATTGATAAGATACATGAAAAAATTACTCAGTTCTGATTGGTTAAGATAAATGTAGTTTTCAGGTAATTCAGTGCAGAAGAGGGTTAATTCAGTGCTCAGACACTTTGTTTTAATTTGCCATTATGAGGAGGATCATGTGGGGGAGTTAAAGATCGGAAGGGAGGGGGGGGCAGGGGGCAGCTTTCAATTGGGCTTTGTCTTGTTACTACCCCCTGTCACGAACTTATTTTTTATGGATCTGTAAATTTCGTAACGAATAAATTAAATTAGACAAATGCTAAAGTTTTCCATACATCAAACTCTGGTTACAAGGAGAAGTTTATTCATTAAACTACTCGATCAGCTTTCCTTCTTCTCAGTTTTTTAACATTGAGAGCTCTCGCCTTTGTTAAGTAAACGGTCCATCAATAGAGAATTACACCAGTTCTTTGAGTGCTCACTTCACTTTTACACTGCACCACAGCCTCTTACATGTTTAAGTAGGATAAACTGAAAAAATAGCTTGCCTACTTGTTAAGTCAACCGTCAATTTAAAGAGACACGCAACTAAGCTCTAAAGAACTAATTTTTAGCAAATTTCAAGTACATCGCTATTACTTTTGTATTTTACAGAAGAAATGCTAGACTTGGATCTTTTTGAAGATGGTGAGCAATTATCCTTTTCTTAAGTGAAGTTTTTTGCTACAAATATTTCGTAACTAGCACGACGAAGCTTTTTCTTCTATTTTCAATTTTTGTTTTGATTTGCCATTATGAGGAGGATAGTTTGGGGGAGTTTTTTTAGCTTAAAAAATCAGGGGGTAGGGGGCAGGGGGTAGCTGTCAACTGGGACTTTGTTCTGTTACTGCCCCCGTCACGAAATTCTTTTTTATTCATCTCGCCTTTTTGACAAAACTAACAAGTTCTAGTCGCTTATTTTAATGGTGTTGTGTTGCAGTTTGGTTACCTGTTACGACGACGTCTTGTTCTGATTCGTATGTAATTTTTTAGGCGTAACCGGAGTAGCCTCTTGTTTTATTATTTGTCAAATCATCGATCGATGTTCACCAAATTGCTCGAAAAAGGAAAGGGAAAAATGAAATGCAAGATGCATGTAGTTCAAGTATGTTTAAGACTCGCCGGCGCGTATAATTAGGTATGGGGAGCCATTTGTGCCAAAAATATCTATCGCTAGTGGTAAAACTCAACCGTCCATTTTAAGAGACACGCATTTGAGTTCTATATAACTTATCTCGAGTAAATTTCTCTTTTAGTACCATTGACAATGTCACTCTCTAGAGATGGTGAGTAGTTTTCCTTTCTTATAAGTTTAAGTTTTTTGCTATTGATAAGATACATGAAAAAATTACTCAGTTCTGATTGGTTAAGATAAATGTAGTTTTCAGGTAATTCAGTGCAGAAGAGGGTTAATTCAGTGCTCAAACACTTTGTTTTAATTTGCCATTATGAGGAGGATCATGTGGGGGAGTTAAAGATCGGAAGGGAGGGGGGCAGGGGGCAGCTTTCAATTGGGCTTTGTCTTGTTACTACCCCCTGTCACGAACTTATTTTTTATGGATCTGTAAATTTCGTAACGATTAAATTAAATTAGACACCAAAGATAAATGTTCACCAAATTGCTCGAAAAAGGAAATGCAATGTTTAAGACTGGCCGGCGCGTATAATTAGGTATGGGGAGCATTTACGCCAAAGATATCAATCATTAGTGATAAAACTCAATCGTTGGTGCTAAAACATCAATCGTAGCGATAAAAATCAATCGTTTGTGCTAGTATTGATTTGTTATCGATTTTACCTTGAGCAAGTCTCTCGCTTGTTAAGCAAAGATGAACCAATCAAATTCTGCTCACTTTCTTGAAATCTGATAAGGGACATTGAGATGAGAATAAAGGTAAAGACTTCGAAGACTCATCAACTCTTTTTTTTTACCACTTCAACCTTTTTTAAAATTGAATTAAGTTAGAGTGCCAAAGTTTTCCATACGTCAAACTCTGATTTCAAGGAAAGTTTTGTTCATGAAATTACTCGATCAGCTTTCCTTTATCTCATTTTTCTTTTAACGTTGAAAGCTCTCTCTTTTGTTAGGTAAATGGTCCACTATAGAGAATTACTCTAGTTCCCTGAGTGCTCACTTCCTTTTTGCACCGCACCACAGTCTCTTACATGTTTAGATAAAATAATCTCACAAAATAGCATGCCTGCTTGTCAAGTCAACCGCCCATTTTAGGAGACTCGCAGTTGAGCTCTAAAGAACTAATTTCCAGTAAATTTCAAGTACCTCTGTATTACTCTTGTAATTTATAGATGATAAGCGAACCTTTGGTACTTCGAGATGGAGTGAGTAACTTTCTTTTTTTTCGCTCAAGTCTTTTGCTACAAATATTTCTTAGCTTGCATGACGATGCAATTTATCTAGTTAAAGAGATTCGTCAAACTCTTGCCAAAAACAGCTCTTTCTCTTGCCAAAAACAGTCTTTTGCTACAAATATTTCTTAGCTTGCATGACGATGCAATTCATCTAGTTTAAGAGATTCGTCAAACTCTTGCCAAAAACAGCTAAAATTAAGGGTTTCTCGGGCACTTTTTGTTTTGGTTTGCCATTATCAGGAGGATAATAATAATCTGTTATCTTAAAAGATCAGGGGGGTAGGGGGCAGGGGGTAGGGGTAACTGTCAACTGGGACTTTGTCCTGTCACTGCCCCCCGTCACGAACTTATTTTTTTATGTATCTGTACATTTTTGTAACGAATAAATTAAATTAGGGTACCAAAGACGCCTTAGTTTCCGTGCAACTGGAGTAATTTTCCCTTTTTCTGTTTTAAGTTTTATGCTAAAAATATTTGGTAGCTTGCATCAGTCGGTGTTTCGTCTAATTTAAGAGACCCGTCAGACTCCTCCTAAAGAAAGCTAAAATCAGGAGCGATTCTCAGACACTTTTTGCTTTGATTTGCCATGATGAGGAAGATCATGATGTAAGGGAGTTTAAGATGGCGGGGGGGGGAGGGGCAGGGGGTAGCTGTTAATTGTGACTTTGTCCTGTTGCTGCCCTCTGTGACGAACTTCTTTTTTATGTATCTGTACATTTTGTAACGAATAAGTTAAATTCAATCAAAGCACTCCACAGTTCCACGAGTGCTCACTTCACTTTTACGGCGCACCACAGCCTCTTACTTGTTTAAGTGGCATAATCTTAAAAACTAGCTTGCCTACTTATCAAGTCAACATTCCATTTTAAGAGACATGCAGTTGAATTCTAAATAACTTATTTTGAGTGTATAAATTTCTCTTAGGACCTCGTAAAGGTGAGTAATTTTCCTTTCTTGTAAGTTTACGTTTTTTGCTGTAATTATTTCGTAGCTTGCATGACGACGCAATTCATCTAGTTTAAGAGACTCGTCAAACTCTTGCCAAAAACAGCTAGAATTAAGGGTTTCTCGGGCACTTTTTGTTTTGGTTTGCCATTGTCAGGAGGATAATAATAATCTCTTATCTTAAAAGGGGGGGGGGCAGGGGGTAGCTGTTAATTGTGACTTTGTCCTGTTGCTGCCCTCTGTCACGAATAAATTGAATAAGGGTACCAAAGTGTTATACGCCTTAGTTTTCGTGTAATTTTCCCTTTTTCTGTTTTAAGTTTTATGCTATAAATATTTGGTAGCTATAGAACTAATTTCCAGTAAATTTCAAGTACCTCTGTATTACTCTTGTAATTGAAAGGTTATGAGCGAAACTGTGCTAGTTTGGGACTGGGTGAGTAACTTTCTGTTTTTTAACTTTAGTCTTTTGCTAAAAATATTTCATAGCTTGCATGACGATACAATTCATCTAGTTTAAGAGACTCGTCAAACTCTTGCCAAAAACAGCTAAAATTAAAGGTTTCTCGGACACTTTTTGTTTTGATTTGCCATTATCAGGAGGATAATAATAATCTGTTATCTTAAAAGATTTGGGGGGGTAGGGGGGCAGGGGGTTACTGTCAATTGGGACTTTGTCCTGTTACTGCCCGCCGTCACGAACTTATTTTTTTATGCATCTGTACATTTTTGGAACGAATAAATTAAATTAGGGTATCAAAGTGTTATACACCTTAGTTTCCGTGCCACTGGTGAGTAATTTTCCCTTTTTCTGTTTTAAGTTTTATGCTATAAATATTTGGTAGCTTGCATTACTCGGTGTTTTGTCTAATTTAAGAGACCCGTCATACTCCTCAGGAGTGTTTCTCAGACACTTTTTGCTTTGATTTGCCATGATGAGGAAGATCATGATGTAAGGGAGTTTAAGATGGTGTGGGGGGGGGGGGGGGCAGGGGGTAGCTGTCAGTTGTGACTTTGTCCTGTTGCTGCCCTCTGTCACGAACTTCTTTTTTATGTATCTGAACATTTTGGAACGTATAATTTAAATTAAATCAGGGCGCCCAGAATTTAAATCCCTTGGTTCCTCTGCAAGCGGTGAGTAATTTTCCTTTTTTCTAGTTTAAGTTTTTCGCTAAAAACATAAATATTTCGTAGCTGTACATTTTTTAACGAATAAATTAAATTCAAGTGGAGTGCCAAAGTTTTCCATACGTCAAATTTTGATTTTAAGGAAAATTTTATTCATGAAATTACTCGATCATCAGTTACGTAAACGGTTTATTGAAAGAGAATTACATTAGTTCCCTGAGTGCTCACTTCACTTTTACGCCGCACCACAGCCTCTTACTTGCTTAAGTGGCATAATCTAAAAAACTAGCTTGCTTGCTGTCAATTGGGACTTTGTCCTGTTACTGCCCCCCCGTCACGTACTTCTTTTTAAGTCGTGAATTGCATGTTTCTTACATGTTTAAGTAGGATAATCTTAAAAAATAGCTTGCCTACTTGTCAACTGTCCAGCTAAAGAGACACGCAGTTGAGTTCCAAATAAGTAATTTTTACTAAATTTTAAGTACATCTCTATTACTCTTGTAATTTACAGAAGAGGATCAATCCTGTGGTTTCTCTGGAATTTGTGAGTAATTTTCTTGCTTGCATGGCGAAGCAATTTGTCTAGTTTTAGAGACTCGTCAGGCTCCTCCCAAAAAGCAGGGGCTGAAAAAGCTAAAATGAAGGGTGTTGCTCAGAACCTTTTTTTTTCGTTTGTCATTGTGATGAGGATCATGTGGAGGAGTTTTGGATCAGCCATTCTCGATCAGATACATACAGTATATGAATTTGATTTCTGTTTGACTTGAAGAATTTAGGCAGGAATGCGAGATTCTAGGTGCATATGATTCGTATCTCAAAGATACGTTTAGGTTCTCGATATTTCTTTCTCTAATATATATGGGATACTTTAGCTTTCGAATGCCAGATAATCGCTTGATAGTCAGATAATCGATGACTTCCATCAAGTATTTCAACTTTTCAATTTCCCCTCTTATTCTCTAACGTCATACGGTACAAATAACCAAAACCTCTTTACATACTGAACTTCCCTGTGCAAAAAGCAAGAACATTATTTCCTGTCACCGAAATGTATCCCTGATAGAAGCAGACAAATCAAAATAAACAGATCTCCCCTTTTCTATTTCACTGTTATGTCTACAGAAAAAATTCATTTATGACTGAGAAATAAAGCCTTAGAAGAAGAGGAGAAATGAGAGAGTCGAACGCGATTACTACGCGTACCATCCCATGTTGGAAACTTTTCAATTTAAAATATGCGTGAATAAGTCATTCTTCAGTTTACTGAATTTAAGTAGACTGTTTCTCTCGATTATTTTGCATTCGAATTTCCCACCTCGATGATCACTGTGTGCGATATTTCCCGGCTATGAATCTGAATTATATCATCTTGCTAATGCGTCGATCAATTCCAAGCTTCAAAATCTCCCCTCAGGGAACCCAATTGGCCCACCCACGGACCAGATTTAATGGTCAGTTTTTATGCAAAAGACAAAGTCAGGGTCGTGACTTTCTACTCATTGACCAAGCTTTAAAACTTGTAGACCTTGTAGACCTTTTCTTCTGAGCTGTTCGCTAGTGAAAGTGAACTTTACCTATTAAAAGATAAAACGCTTGTATTTTTTTGGAAAGTCTTGACACTTCCTTCTCCACCCTAGCTGGGAAAGGTTCAAATACCCCAACCCCTGGGCAAAGAAAACAGTCAAATACCCGTGGGTTTTCCGAGTAAAGATATTGAAATTTAGAGTTGGTCGGCACATAACCAAGTGTAAGGCCGTACTTGGGATTATTGGCCCGGGGTCTTCGGTGTGGGTTGGCAGTATGGACTGAGCGCAGGGAGGTCTGTATTTTAATAACCGAAGGCCAACATTTCCCTTACTACAAGAGCAAGCGAGGTTAGTAGGCAGTTTATCTCATGGCACTCAGACCAAGCTTGTTTATTTTACTTTTACTAGCTTTCAGTCATAAAAACGCACAGCTTATGACCGTTTCTGTGGTGGAAACGGACCGCAGGGCAAAATCCTAATCAAATAAGAAAACTAGTCTGAACGCCTAGATCTACCCCAGGACTACCTTGCCATATAAATGCAATAATAATACAATCGTAAATATGTCCTGGAATATTTGTATATCTGCCGTCAATGCCCCTTTTCCTATTACATGTAAAGTTGACGGTCGTGCCAATGTCGTTGAACCGGATCCCGCATGGAGATCAGGTGGAACAACATTACAAGGCCACAGTACACAACAGTTTACCGCAGCTGAACCAATAAGAGTGGATCATTCACAGAGGGTGGAACTGGTACTCAGGCTTGTAGCCAGGTAATACACCACTTAGCACATTAAAAAAGGGATGGGTCAGCTATTTGTTTTAGAATAGTTTGTCCTTCGTACCTGGCTCGACGATTAGCCGTTGTTATGGAAATGAGCCGTGTATTATCTCCTAGGTACGACTTGAGAGAGTAGCGGTATTCGACCTAAATGTCTCTCGTTTTTACAAGGATTTTTAAACAAGAGCTTTTCTAAAGTAACCACGAGCTGTCACGAGCTTAGTATAAAATTGTTTAGGGAAAATTTTGACACAGTCACCTACGACCAAGGGAAACCGGTTTCTCCAACACTGAGGGCGAGTTGTAGATGTTAGTTCTTTGTTGTTAATATTCTTGTATGTCTCTACTTTTTAGAGATGGAGAAAAAGATCTAGAATTTCCCAAAGGTGAATGTAAACCGCTGTCAACTCTGACTCCACCACCTGTCCAAGAGTAGGGCAGACAATGAATCGGTGTAAATGGAAGTCAGTTCAACAAGTATATTCTAATTTCTTTAGGTTTGTCTTGTTCACCGATGACAGCAAAATATGTTAAAAACAAAATTCTACAGTAAGCTGAATAATACGAGTGTTCAGATTTGTTCTTTCTTATAATCTGTTGGAAGATAGATGATATCACCATCAACAAGTTTTTACTTCTTTTACATTATATGAAACATATAGATTCCATGTTGCTGTTGGTCAGTTCAGTAATAGATCACAGAAGTTGTAAAAATATGACAAGAACATCAGTGACATGTACTTCGCATTTATTAAAGAAATAACTTTGAAAGCACCAATCCTCTCAAACAAAAATTTTTATTTCATCTTAAAAGCAAGATTACACCTTGGCCTCTTTGCGCAACTTCTTCAGTTCAGCTTTAAGAACTCTGTTTTTCTGTGAAGCAAAACAAAAGCTTTCATTAGACACTACATCCAAATTACGATCACCGCGTTTCCTTGAATGAGCATCCACGCTCTAATATGCACCCCTCCCTGAATAAACTTCCCACCAAATTGGACATAATATTAAACAAGCACCCCTTTTCAATAAGTGCCCACCCACCCTCCCCCCCTCCACTCTCTCACTATCTAAGATAGTAGGGACACAACGAAAACCTGTTTCTATTGCCACTTCGTTTATAACATAAGCTTCAACTAAAGCGAAAGAAGTACAGATTGATTATTTCTTCATAAGCGCCCCTCCTTTACACGGAAATTTCAACAAAGCACTCGAGCACTTATTGGAGGAATACATTTTGTACAGGTATACTGTGAGCAGGTACAACACCCTCAAAAAGCCCAACACAATTGGTCACACTTTATTTATGTCTTATTCTGAGAAAGGCTAGCAATGTCAATTCAAAATAGTCCCGAGTCATTGCACTGATAAATGAATAAAGGGGGCAAGTTTCTCAAGAAACTGTGGTACTGCATCAGTGGGGGAGTTTAACAACATAACTTGGTTCAGTCACCTGAGTTGATCATGTAAGCTGTCCAGGCGAATGACAAAGGACTAACACTCAAAAAATAAGCTTTTAAACTCTTTATAGAGGCCAACTTACTTTATCAACTCAGTTGATAAAACCAAAATATATTGCACTAATAAGCCTCACATAACTATCCCATGGGTAAGAGTTAAGTTGATCCACAAATATTTGAAATACAGTATTCATTTTGTAAAAAAAATGATGAAGCGTAAAGAGTAAACGAACACAGAAATCTGCAATGGATATGTTGTCAGTTTAATTGCAAAAGGTGTTGCACAATTTTCTTACGGCAGTCACTTTGTAACATAATATGAAGTAAAAGCACGAACACCCACATATACTAGCTCAGTAGGGCTCTTAAGTAACTACGCTGACCACGAGAGCTTGCAGTTGAGTTACCGACGAAAGATCAAAAGAGCAAGCACAGAATGAAAGGAAATTTTTTTTGGAACGATTGCGTGACACGTCATGGCCTCCCACGACGGCGTTTTCAATAGGGGATCGCCTTACCCTATGTAGGAGGCTAGACCCGTCACGGATTCTTGATTCCTGCTTTATCGCCTAATATACGTTAAGTAGGGAAGCAAGAAGATTGTGGAAATTTTGAATATCATGTGAGTCAGGAGCTATATCATGGATCCTCGTTGTGAGTACATTATAATTATCGTCCTCGTCATCGTTATTATTAATGGTGATGTATTTTTATTTAAGATGGACGGTTCTGCTGTGATATATTGCCCAGAGTTCTTCCTGATGGAGCTGGGGTTAAAGACAAAAGGCGACCTGTACGCTCTCCGTCTGTTTTGTGAGAGGAAAGAAAAAAAAGAGGAAAATAAGGACATGGAGGAGAGAAAACAACATTTAATTGAAAAACTGAGATCAACTTAGGGATCACGTCTTAAGGGCTCTGCGTCGGAGAGCAAAATAGCTTCCGCTAGTTCCAACTTTAAGCCACGATGGCGAAAGTTCGAAATTGGCTGGCTGCACTTCTCGGAGGAGAAGGGAAGATACCTCGCAGTAAGACAGTCTACTGGGGGTGGAACGAGGTCAATTTCGTTGCCTGGGAGTAGCAGGATGTCCGACATTATCGACGAGGCTCGCAACTTATTTTTTCCTCAAGGAGGATCCACGTTTGGAAGATGGCTTGAAATGGATTACGATCTAGCAAACTTTAACGGTGAGAAGATTGATAAGCTTATCACCCCTGAAGGGAAAGAGATCGAATTCTCCCTTCAGTCATATTTCAATCTCTACAAGCTTACCCGTGTTCGCCTGTATCTGAAAACCAAAAGAAAAGAACTTCTATCAGAGGAGACGAAAGTAGGAGAGTCGTACTCCGAGGTGAGGAATTCCAGGCTTTTAGGAAGCTCGCAAGAACGGGCCCAACTCAAAGAGACGCAAGATGAAAAGTACGAAGAAAACCTTCGCATCGACCGCGCAAAAAGGAAACAGAAAGAAGAAGCGTTGATGGAAGAAATAAGCAGAGCTAGGAAGGTCGAAGAATTCATGCTGCTCGATTAGGTAGAGTGTTGGAGGAACCGGGCATAGATGAACCACAAGTTGTCGTTCGTGTGCGTCGCATCGACTTGGGAATGGTTAAGCGAGCTTTCAAACCATACCAAGCAATGGCTGCAGTGTACGATTGGATTGGCTCTCTACAGTTATTTCCAGTTTACTTCTCCCTCTGCACTACACCAGGCGATGTGTTAGACCCCTCCTTACCTGCAGAGGATGCGGAAGGTAAAGTCCTATTCATGGAACCAAGAGACGATCCAATTCCATTATGTGATGACGACCCAGAAATTACATTTAAAAGACGGATTTGGTCGACATGGAAATGTCGAACCTGCACTGGACGACTCCCTCTTCGCCCTTGGTGAAATAGGGACAACACCGCCCTTACATCTATTAGCTGGGGAGATGGATAGCGAGGAGGATGACAGTCCAAAGTAAGTAACTTCAAAATTATCCTTATTTCGGTGTCGATATTAAATCCTCCCACTTGTTCTTAAAGAATAACAGGATCACATAATGTACATGTACGGAATAAGTGGGGGTTATTCCACTTTATCAAAAACAAAGAAGAAAATTTTCTCCTTAGTACTTGTACCTAGATTCTATTATTAATGCCTTAATGACCAAGAAACCATTCCCGACCAAAAAGCAATTAAGTAAGCGTTACGAAAGTTATACCCGTAAGACCTCTCCTAATTATATTGTGCGCCATTGTCCACCTCTCCTTCGGCAATTTTTAGCCAATCGCCATCATTTTCGAGCCAACTTTTTCGCTTGGCTAAATTATTCTCCATTATATATTATTTTATCTAAGACAATTATTGCTGGTTCTTGCGGTAACGAGGGATAATTATAATCAGTACTATTCACTATGTCCTTTTCAAAATTGTTCTTGCAGTAACGGCATTGCTCCAAGGCACAAAAAGAAGAAAATGGTTGGTTTATAGACAGTACTGCTGTTGTTATATATAGAACGATGATAATAACGATACAAACGGGTACTCTTTCGCCCTAAACGCCCATATGATTTACATAGTGTAGCTGTCTGGTATTCTTTACAGGAAAATTGCGTTACCTCGACTGAGATGGGTACCAGTAGGTTATCGGCAGACCGAGGGCGGCATTTCCGTCAGAACTACTCAGCCCAGTTAGCACAAGAACAGGTCAGGAAGATATAATATATAGATTTAGGCAAGCCTAAAAGTGGAGCTCACATTTTTTTTCCCGCACGTCTCTTCAACAAAACTAAAGCCCCTACTATGGATAAAGTTCGTGGTGATATTAGTGGACTTTCATTCGCAACTTCTCCGTGTCCGTGTAGAGGACTGATTACAAGATAGTGCCCGTGGTACAGTTGGCCGCGCATGCTAAAAGTAGCACCTTGTACGGTCGGTCGTACGGTCGTACATACAAATTTTCTCGGCTTGATGGGTTACTACTATTTTGTATAATTATGGGGCTACGATTTGCGTGCTCCGCTATAAAGAAAACATAATGTAGACCGATAAATGATGGCGCTTTTTTTTTTTTAGGCAAAATCTTCATCACTGAAGTAACGGCAATTGGAGTTTTGATTACTTGAGTAAACCGTTTTCCATATATTAAAATTCAGACTTGCTTCCGAGGTTTGGGGGAACAAAACAAAAGCAATAGCATCGAAGTTGAAGTATGAATAAATTATTTCTTTTGTTTTATTCCCCCAAGCCTCGGAGCCAAGTTAGAATTCTTGTATATCGAAAATGGCCTATTGGCTTTCTACTGACCGAGCTCTACACTGTCCTGTTCTAGCTAAGTGACCTTGTATGTCTTACTTTGACTTAAGAAAAAGTTTGACTTGATAACGTATTCTTGTGACGGTCGCAACCGCTTCAAACCTGCACAAATAAGAAATTTGGATCGAAATCAGAAAGTGCAAAAACTTCCCTTTCAGCGTTGTCTTTTATTTTATTTCAAATACCTCAAGTGAACGGTATCTTTGTTCCCTGTGTGTTATCTTATCTGATAAGGCATCCGCGTAGGTTTTTGTTAAATTTCTGTCGGATGTTAAAATTAGGCCTCATTTTTATTTGAAGCAGACGGCTACTCTAGAGTAAAGTAATACTTAATAAACATAAAAATAGCAAATATTTTCAAATACGCGAGTACTTCTGAGAAAAACGGGGGGGGGGAGGACTTTTTTTCAGACTGAAGGCAGAGATGAAAACCAGGAGCTGGAGGGGAAGAGCCAAAGCAATACTCAGGTGGCGATGCCCCCTGATGACATTGTCGTAGTCGATGATAATACCACTGAGGAAGAGCAGCAAAGCAACTCAGAATCACATTGCAAGTAAGCCTCTCATTAGTGCACAGAGTGGACGTGTTTGGGTGAACTTAATTTTTAAAAGAGATTTTGCCACTGTTTAAAGAAGGAAAACTCGTGACACACCCTTTTTTGACACATTTAAATCTTGCGCCATAACCAACGCGTCCTTCACTTGATATAACATTTGTAAACAATTAAAATGAAAACATTTTTCTACAGGGTCGTAAAGACAAGGAGAGTGCAAGTTATGAAGGACATGATAAGTCTTTTCAAAGACAAAGCTGTCGTTGACACCGCTTTTAACGTGGTCATGATCAATTCTTTCGGAAAAGAAGAAGATGGGCTGGATAATAGTGGCGTTTTCCTTGATGCACTTTCCGCGTTTTGGAACTCTTTTTATGACTCGCGCACTAATGGTGAAGATGAAAGAGTTCCAGTCATCAGGCACGACTTGCAGGTTGCTGAGTGGGAGGCCATGGCCAGAATAAT